AAAACGAACACACGATTTGCAGCACAAAATTAGCACACAAAAGTGACGTCATACCAAACCCACAAAACCTATGAGACCATCAATCGAATGAAAATCCTGTCTAAAAGAAAAATCCAGAATCGCAGTCAGTCAAACTTACATACACCCACTAAAGCGAAAACAAAGAAGACGGGAACTTATCAAGCGCGTGGAGTACCTCCCTCATGGCCGGCCTCTTCTGCGGCACGGACGAAATACACCCGTAACCCAACCTCAACAGCCCCAGGAATTCCTCCTCCTTACCCTCCACGTCACCCCTGATCGCCACGTCAGCCATCCTCAGGACCCTCCCTCTCTCCTCGTCAGACGACGCTGACATGGCACCGACAGCAAGTGCAGAGCCCGACTCGTCGGAGGCCACGACCTTTCCTGTGAGAAGCTCGAGCAGGACAACCCCGAAAGAGAAAACGTCCCACTTCGGGCTGGGCTTTAGGCTGCGGAGGGACTCTGGCGCGTGGTAAGGGGATAGCCCGACCACGCTCGGGCTCGGGCTTGGGGTGGGCCCGCTAGTGTGGTCCTGAAAGCTGTCGCGCGAGGCTGTTGACCGCTTGCTGCCGAAGTTTCGGGCCGACCCGCCGGTTCCGGGCCTTGAGGTGTTGTAGTCGCCCGTGACTAGGCGTTGAAGCCCGAAGTCGCCGATTTTGGGCTCCATGTCTGGGCCCAGTAAGATGTTGCTGGGCTTTAGGTTGCCGTGGACTTGCTTCTTCTCGTGGATGTAGCAGAGCCCGCGGGCCACGCCTCTTGCTATCTTGAGCCGGGCTTCCCATGGCACGTGGCAGGGTGAGGACCCGGTTTTTTCTGAAAATAACATGAATTATTATTGGTTTTATTTAACTGGGTGATGTATAAATTATAATTTCAAATTTTTAAAATGTGGGACGTAATGTAGAACGACATCTGGGTGGAAAATAAATGCGGCGGGGACTGGAATATCGCTATCGTGCGCTGTGGGCGGAGGATAAAGGATACGATTTATGAGCTACCGGACACAAATTGACCTGTAAAGTGGCTTACCTGGGCAGGAAAAGGAGCATTAAAGACAAAGTTTCGGTTACAACAACTCCACCCTTCAAAATCTCACAGCCCAGTCGTTCTCAGCGCACGTTAGCACTGTCTGTGTGGGAACTAGTTTGAGTTTGGAGGATAGTTGGGTAAATCTGACTTGTTATATTAAGTGCGTAACTAATGGGACCATCAATCAGATACAGCTCTATGGTTCAATTCAATAATTAAAATCCAAATACTTGTACAATTTAAATGGAACTTTGCAATTATGGTGACAACAACTATACAATAAAAACAGCCTCTTTAGGTTTAGCACATTATTATGATGCCTAAAGTAGCACTCAATAAGTGAAGACAATTATGCAATCAGAGGTAGATGATAACTAATTATGGAAGCCTAAATTCAATTTTCTTGGGGTGCAGAACTGGCTTTGAATTTTTACCCGAATACCACTTATGGTGTAAGAAGACTAGAGTTAGCCAAATCTAAGAGTTACACTTTTCAATGGTTGTACATATATTAAAATGTTACACTATAAAAACAACATAAATATTTATAAAAAATATTATGGATCGACCTACTTAATAGTTAGGCTGTCTTACACGATAGTTTATGTTTCGATTAGTGTAAATAAATAACAATTTTGATTCAATATTTATTTCATATTTTTTTATAGCTAATGAAAATTGCAATTTAATATTAAATCAAACAATGAAACAAAAAGGAAAAAAAGAGTAGTGATTGGAATACTTACTGTAACGTGCGTTAGCAAGACTGCCATTGGGTACAAAATCATAGATGATGAGCTTTTCGTCGGTGCCCCAGTAAAAGCCACGAATCCGGACCAGATTCGGGTGTACCAACTTTGCGATTACTCGAACCTGATTCTGAAAATCCCTGAACCTCTCCACCCCATTCTCCCCCACGCGCCTCACCGCCAGCGTGGTGCCGTCCTCAAGCACCGCCTTGTACACTATGCTCGTCCCCGACGCCCCCAGTATGTAGGCCGACGCCTTCAGCAGCGTCTCAAGCTCAAGCTCCTTCTCCCCGTCCACCGTCACCAGAGCCCCGTCCTTCTGCTCCCGCCCCGGCGCGTGCGCCTCACGCGCGCTCTCCTCGTCCTCCGTTTCGGAGCTCCCCGACTCCGACGGGCAGCTTTCTTCCCCGGCGGCGTGCCGGTGTTTCCTCAGGCAGGTCCATCCCCGGAGCCAGCTCCGCTCCTCCGAGGACGATTCGGAAGAGGAGGCCCAGTCGAACTCCCGCGCTCTCTCCGCCTCCTTTTTCATGGCGGCGGCGGATGCTCTCCGCCTTTTCAGCTGGTAGACGTAGAGGAACACCACCACGAGGATCCCGATGCCGGCGATGTCGCCGGCGACGATTCCGAGGATTGTGCCGGGCCTCAGCCCGGCTCCTCTCGACTGGCTCCGGCTGCCGCCGCCCGGCGAGGCGGCGGCCGGTTCTGAGCCGATGGTTTTTGGTATGGCGGCGATGGCCGGAGGAGACTCTTGCACGGCGGCACTCGGCAGCGTGGCGGCGGAGGATGGGATGGGGCAGAGCGTCTTCAGCGGCCGGCCGCACAGCTCGGAGTTGCCGGAGTACGATTTCAGGTCCTGGTTGATGAAAACGTCGGACTCCGGTACTGGGCCGGTGAGGTTGTTGAAGGAAAGATCTACCGTCGCGTTTCCCGGGATTTTCCTACCAAACTCCAGCGGAATCTCGCCGAAGAGCCTGTTGAAGGAGACGTTCAGGTACGACAGGTTCCCGCCGCCGAAATCCGGAGGCAGCGACCCGTTGATTAAATTCGAGGACAGATCCATAACCCGAACCGAATCGAACCCGCCCGGAATGGGGCCTGAGAAGTAATTATTCTTCAAGGAAACCGCCGTCAAATTGTGGAGACCCGACAAGTTCCGAGGCAGGGGACCGTACAGAGCGTTGTCCGACAGATTCAGCAGCCGGAGGCTCCCCATTCTCCCGACGAGCTCCGGCAGCTCGCCGGAGATCAAATTGTTTGACAAATCGAGCGACTGAAGCTCGGGTGCCCGGAAAAGGGAGGCCGGTAAAGAGCCGTTGATTGAATTGTTTGACAGGTTCAGGCACCTGAGGTGCTCGATCATTCCAAGGGTGGACGGGATCGGGCCCAAGAGGCCCGAATCGGGAAGGGAGAGGCCCGTGACACGATAATATGCATCTGCGGAGCCCGGGACGCCACAGGCGACCCCACGCCAGGAGCACGGCGTCTGGTCATAGGCGTTCCAGCTTTGAAGGACTCCGAATGGGTCCTTTAATATGCTGTATTTGAAGGAGAGCAAGAGGATGCCGTCAGTGTTGAGCCCGAATGATTGGGCCCGAAACAGGATGATTACTGATAGAGCCCGAAGCCGCCATAGGTGGAGATGATCGGAACTTGGGGAGCTCATGCTATCTTGCGCCGATCCCACATCTCGGTATTTGCAGAAGAAAAGGGGAGAATTTTTTTAAGGAATGAGAGAGAGAGAAAAAACAGAGTAGCAAATGGGACTGAGATTTGTGATATATGAGTACGAGGGGTGCATAAGAAGCTGATTGATTGTAAACGAAAACCAAAAAAAAATAAAATATATATATATATATAATGGTAAAATAAAAAATTAAGATGAATACTGACAGTAGTAATTAAAAAAAAAAAGGGAAAAAAATTAAATTAAAATTTATGGGGAAAGGTACTCACAGCTCACCAAAAAAAACCGAACTTCCTCACCAAAATGCTCTGTTCAGACATTGATGAGACTAAATTAATGTAGGGATATAGTACTATAATAAAGAAGACATTAATAATTTAATTAATGCTCCCTACATTATTATGATATGGCTCCCAGTTTAGAGAAAAATGAAGTTGTTGTATGATATTTTTAATTGAAGAAATAAATTATGGGTGGAATAGCATATTTGCTAGGTGACACAAGGGTGGAGTCAAGAATTTTCGCGGTATCAATCTAACATATATGGCATTGTATTGACTTTTACAAGGGATAATGGGATATGTGTTAAAAATATTTGGATTTCTGTCTCATGTTTCCTTTATTAACATGGGATGTCACATAATTCACATTGTCAGTTGTCACACCCCTCTTAACACTGTAGATCTTGGGAGGAATATGTAGATCTGATTAAATCTTAAGATAACGTTCAGTGCAATAATAACCCAATAAATGAAAAGCTTTGGTTAATTTAAAAAATACCATTTAGAGTTTGCTGTAATTGCACCTCTGTGATGTGATCATTTTCAATTCTGGTGTTGTATATATTCGTTGTGTGGTAAAGTGAAGGCATAGTAAGGAGCCCCATATAGAGATTGAGACGAGATATTATATTATGAATCAAATGGAGATACAAATTAATATTAAAAAGTCTCAAAATTTCATTCAAAATCTCAAACGAATAAATCTTATCTAGTGAGTAATGCTTTGTGAATGAAGAAAGTTCAACTACTATATCAAACGTCCGACACGTATATACGAGGGCACATGCGTCGTTTCGAAACATTTTCACTAATAAATATCACATATCACCTTTATAATAATATGGTATTTGATGTAATCTATACCCCACGAAGCAGCTTCTAATACATGTAAAGCACCGAACGAGATTCCCGACTTAAAAACTCCGACATTCAAATTATTTTACAGACCAATAAAGGTTCTTTACAATATCACCTTACTTGATTTTGCTATGGAGCAATCAGATGGCTCGGCTTATGGAGCCATCCATAATTATTCACAAATGGTGTATTGACACGTGTCCTACAATAAATACACAATGAACACATGCCAATACATAAAGTTATGGATGACTCTATAAAAAGTTATCCAATGGCTCCATATAATTTATGTCACCTTATATTTGTATGAAACGTATTTCTCTCTTTCATGATCAAATAGGATATTGATGAATCCTCTCAAATTTGGCCGAGATCTTTCCAGAATTTATAAAGATTTTTTTTCCTTAATTAAAAATCTCATTTTTTTTTTGTAACTTTTTTTGTAATGAGTTTTTTGGCGGAAGTTCTCATATTATTTTTATCGTATGTCATTGTATAACTTCTCATAGTCAATTGCCACTATTTCAGTATGGCCCGATCATCCGATAATCTAACTCAAATTAGAATATTACATCACTATATTAATCAAATTTTCCTTTTCGGCCTTGATCAAGTCGATAAAACCGAGCTACTCCACGAGCCGACAACCCCCATTTTAATCGAACCACCGAGCTATAAATCGAATTTATTGGCTAGGTGGCAATAACAGTCTCATATTGATTTTTTATAATATCTTGTGGAAATATATTTGACAGGGATGCAAGTCAAATGAAGGTGAATTTCAGTACAATAAAACCAGCTGCCCTTACCCAAGAGCACGTGGGTGAGATGGTTGGGGTCTCTCCCAGCTTAACCAGAGGTCTCGAGTTCGAGCCCTGGGAATGCAGCTGTGTTAAAACTCTTGAGGTAGAGCTTTGTCGCCCTTGTGGTCTTACCCGGCTCGATTCCGGATTAGTCGGTCCCCTAGGGGATTCAGAAACCGGAAAGTTCATTGTACCAAAAAAAACCAGCTGCCCTTTCTCTCTCTCCCTTTTTTTTCTGTTTTTTTTTTTAAAAAAAAACTAACTTGGCTATCCTGGTGTGATTATTGGACCACCGAATGATAATATGGAACCTGACTGAAGCACGTCCTCAACTTTTATTTTCTTGCTGTTGTCCCCATTAGAAACATGCCACTTTTTGAGTTTCTTGTCAATAAGGAAAACAAAAAATAAAAAATCAAAAACAAAAACAAAAACAAAAACACACATTGTGTTTTCAGTTCTCACTTAAATTCTTGGAACTACTCATCCACCACTCTCATGATCACTAATAGGAAGGAATTGTAGGTTCAAATCATACTATATATTATTTTATTTCCTCATAAATTTCTTTAATTATATTAAAAAATGTATTAAGAATTATAATTATTATTTTTCTTTTACATAAATATTATTAACTATTAGCCTCCTCTGATAATTTTGACCACCGATAATCATTTTCTGGTGCCCCAAATTAAGAATTGATTGGCACAAACATATTTGCCCCAAAAGATAATAGTCTTTATTTTACACAAGTGTCAGTATTTAATATGTTCCTTGTGAATTGTGAATTGGTAGCGAGGAAGATGGACAACTTTTAGAAAATATAAATTTGAGTAATGCATATGCATTATTTATATACTTCGTCATGATTATTTTAGGACGAATGGAGTACTATTTCCATATTAAATCATCTCTGATTAACATAGTTTCTATTTCAGGTTTACTCACACCCTCAAATTTTTTATTTTCCTCACCCTATAAATATTTCTATTAATAAAGGAGGAAAAAAAGAAAGAAAAGCTCCTTTTTTATGGTCGTCATCTTTTGAAAGACATAATTAAAGTATCACCATCTTTATTAGCTCTTCTTTTTAGTTGTGCCCGTCGCAAAAGTAAAAGGAAATTAATAATGACTGAGGATCAATTGTGGAAGCACTAATATCACATCACAAAATACTTCTCTATGTTGATGTCATGAACGATGAAACCCAAATTCTTAGTGAATGACTTTTGTTATAAGCGGGTCATATTATTTGAAAAAAAATATATATTTATATTGTCAAATATCATATTTATGTTTATATTTTTTAAAGCATGATATTATTTAACAAAATTATACATATATAAAAAAAGAGTGTTGCCTAGTGATTAGGCCGACCTAACACATAATTAAGAATAAATTTATGCTCACTGCCATCACATTGGACTTAGTTTTGATCAGTTAGGAAAATTTGTACATCAATATACAAATGGGCTTGATTGATGAGTTTAAAATTTAAATAAAACTTAGGATATAATATATATAATTTCTACAATCAGTCAAAAGATTTATTAATTTAGATCATTTAATATGATGCTGTGGATGTTGTTTCTTTAATTTCCTTCTCCATGGCCACTTCTATATGCTTCCAATAATTCGACCAATGGCGGAAAATAAGGGCTATAAAAGTGTTGTTTTGATGAAAAATATATTGGTATTATAAATGACGAGTTTCTAGTTCTTCATGAAATTACAGTTTAACCAGGGCAGATTCAGAAAATTTTAGTGGGGAGGCAGTAAACAATATAATTTTAAAGAACATGACACGTTTAATATAATAGAAAAATATGTACTTCCAAACCTCGCTAGCAATTAGAATTAATTAATTTTCTCAAAATGTAGAACATATTAATAATTGACTCGAATATGTACAATATAAAAATACAGAACAAAAAAAGAATAATCTTATGTTCGAATTTTCTATAAGCATATATCATATATTTCTACCACATTAAATTACATATCTTAAGTCTCTGTATATTAAATTTACTCCTCGTATTACGTTATAGACAGTCGTATTTATAGAAGACTTACAAAATCTAATTATTATTTATAATAATTGATACATGAACTAATACAAACGAGTTAGGACAGTTGTGCAGATTTTTCTACTAATACTCCTCTTTGAATTCTCTATTTTTAGGTAAGACTATTGATTATCAAAGCCTTAACTTATTTATTTAAACTAAAAATTAATATAAAAATATAATTTTACATATACTTAATAAAAAAAAAATTGTTGGGGGACAATGGCCTCCCCCAAGTTACATGTAGATCCATCCCTAAGTATAACAATGTCATATTAGATCCGATGACATCAAATTGTTTTTTTATAAAAATATTACTGCGACTTGGATATCCTTCACGGGGAATAATCAAATAATGGAAATTAATGGAAGTCAATGTCAACTGGTGTGATTATATCCAAAGTAGTTGATAGCGTTGGGTCGAACAATAAGCCTAATGGACAAAGAATACCCCCATAACAAATATGACATGCATTAATACTAACGAGAATAAGCCAACATACATAAATAAAAGGCAAGAAAGATAAAGAACACAAAAATTGATAACGGAGTTCCGCTAAAATTACCTACGTCTCCGGACACTGCCAACCGCAATGCCAAATTTACCAAACTAACCACAAATTACATCTAGGGTTAAATAACACACAAATTAGGATTTCCTTAGTTAATGATTTCCTTCTAAGATATAAGATAATAGAATAAGGTGCAATTGTAACCCAAAGGCAAGAGACCAATTAGACCCTACACATCTTCGGTACACATCTGAGGTGGGACAACAATTAATCAAAACCTAACAATTCTCCATCCTAATCTTGCTCCCACTCCCAATTCAATTGATGACGGTGCCTCCAAATGCGCCTCTCGACGCCAACTCAAATATGCAGAATGTTGGTCAAGTCTAAACAATGTTCAAACTTGACTGTTGCTACTATCTTGGTCATCATATCTGCAGGGTTCTCCGTCGTCTTGATCTTCTTCAACACAACATTTCCATCTTCTAGAATCTCCCGCACAAAGTGATAGCGAACATCTATATGTTTCGTTCTTGCATGAAATACTTGATTTTTTACTAAGTGAATAACACTCTGACTGTCACAAATACGTGTTTTTTACCAACTCCCAAGTCTTCAAACAAACTTTGAAGCCAAACAGCCTCCTTCACAGCTTCAGTAACCGCCAAATACCTTATCTCTGT